AGCTCTGCCTCCCAGGACCCAGTTATTCAACCACTTGAAGGACATCACATAATACCCACTTAGCCCACAGTCTTTTCTTCTTCAGAAGCCAACAGTTGTTGACAAATGCTTCTAAATTTTATATCAGAGGAAGAAGAAGGTAATTAGGTGGATAGAAAGCACTGGACCTGAAGTTAGGATGACCCGAGTTCAAATCTTGCCTCAGACACTTCCTAGTTGTATGACCCTGGGCAAGTCACTTCTGCCTCTGTCTGCCTCAGTTTCCTTATCTGTAAAATAGGGATAACAATAGTACCAACCTACAGGGTTGTTGTGAGGATAAAATGAGACATTTGTAAGGCACTCTGCAAATCCTAAAGCATTATATGAATGCTTATCATTATTATTATTATTATCATTGTTATTAGAAACTCTTTGACCTAGAGAAATGACTATAGGTTAGTTTTACCTTTGACAGAGTTGATAAATTAATCATCATCTTTTAGTCTAAAATGAATTGTCACAACTTCTCAATACTAATAGTTATAATTAAATTTAGAATGGCTAGCTAACAATTTTGTAGACTCCCACTTTATCAGATGAGTAGTCACCTTTTGATAACTGGGTTCCTTCTCAGCCTTAACTCTATGAGCAGGCAATGAAGGGGCTATCTCCGCCAATACTTTAGATTCCTTCATTCCCTTGTTAGTCTCCAAGCACACCCCTCCTCCTATCTTTCCTCTTTTTTGCTTTTTGCAAAGGAAGGAAGGAAACAAGCATTTATTAATTAATTATTGTGCTAAGTACTTTATGAATTTTTTTATATTTTTTTATAAATATTTATAATTATAAATATGTCATTTGGTCCTCACAACCTGGGAGTTAGGTACTATTATTATCCTAATTTTACAGATGAGGGAACTGAGGTAGACAGAGGTGAAGTGACTTGCCCAGGATCATATTGCTAGGAAGTGCCTGAGGCAAGATTTGAACTTGGTCATCCTACCTGCAGGTCCAGTGCTCTATCTACAGTGCCATGGGCACAGCTATCCTGCCAACGACCCAGTTCCTCCTTGACCCCTTACTCTTCCTCAACCCCTGTGTCCAGTCAGGTTGCTGCCCTGCTCACAAAGCTTCATCTCTTCTTACTGTCTCTGCCTGGTGTCTAATGACCTTCACAGTTTGGCTCCAGCCCGTCTTTCCAGCCTCCTCTCACATCTCTCCATCCCTCACCCCCGCCCTCTCCCCCACCCCCACCCTCACTTCACACATGCTGCATCCAGCCCAACTGGCCAAACATGACATTGCAGCTCTTGCCTTTGTACTTCTGCCCAGGCATCAGTCTGTCATTTCTGGAAGACCCTCTGCCCTCCCCTCTGTCTCTTGGAATCTCTATCTGCCCTTCAAAGTTCAGCTTGATGTCACCTTCTACAAGAGGCCCCCAGTTGTGAGCGCCTCCTGAAGCCCATGGCCCTGAAGTTGCCTTCCATTCACCTTGTAAGGAGACTGTATTAACTTCCCCACATAAATGTTTCTCTCCCACCTCTGGCCCCCAACATGTAGACTGTCCTGATAGCCATGGAACGGTTTACTTTTGTCTTTGTGTCTCCAGAATACAACAGAGTGCTCTGAACATCTTAGGCACTTAATAAATGCTTATTGAAGGAATATGTGAAAACCAGGGTAACTGCCTCACGTAACCAAGGCTAGCTCCAGTGGGGCACCTGAAGCCCAGGGCCTCTCTCCTACATCATAGCACTTCTCCAAATATAAGTCAGCTGTATCATGGATTTCCTCAAAGGCCAGATCTGAATTCTGGCAGAACTGTTGGCTTCACATGCTTGCCTCAGTCAAACTAAGACCTGTTAAAGACCTTAGCTTGAAAAGGCCAAGGCCTCCCACTGCATCCAGGGCCACCTCCAGTCATCCTGATCTATATCTGGCCACTGGACCCACATGGCTCCTTAGGAGAAAGTGAGGCTGGTGACTTTGCACAGCCCTCCCTCACTTAAATCCAATTCACTTACAAGTCATGGCATCACCTCCTTGATGTCCTGGTCCTTTTAGAGAACGAAGGACAAATAAGAACAGCCTAGTACTCTAGACAAGGCTTCGTCTGGGTCTCCCCTCTGTGGTGGTGGGGGTGGTGTCATTCCCATGATAGACTTTTCCACATCTAAAACGTAATGAGAGGCAGCAAAATGGAGTGAGAGACAGTGGGTCTCAGAGTCAGAAAGACCTGGGTTCAAGCCCCACTTCTAATATCTACTGATCATAAAGTCACTGGTGCAAGTGACTTAACCTCTAAGTGCCCTAGGCAACTCCTAAATTGCAGAAAAGTTTTTGGTTTGTATCGGTAGGTGGAGTTTCCTACTAACAGTGGAAGTAAAATGAGTGTTTGGTGTTGTTTGTCCTTCATTCTCCAAGAGGACAGGTGATGCAATAATTTGAACCTTTAAATGGCTTTGTTGTGTTAAAAATGAATAAAAATTGATCATTAGCAATGGACTGTCAAATACTTTTGTTTACTAAAGAAGGAGGTGACTTTTAAAAACAGACTGCTCTGAGAAAACTTTTGAGGGTTTAAAGAGCTACCTGATCCTTGCTTTGTGAATATTTTGTAACACAGAATATTTTTGGCTGTGTTAATAGATCCAAGCCTTGGACACCCAACAGCCCTGGCCATGCCTGGACACCACAGACTGACACAGAAGGTCAGCTGAAAGGAATCTAAGGGACCATCTAATCTAGAATGGTTCTTAAGCAGGAATCCACGAACTTAAAACAAATACTTTGATAACTCTATTTCAATATAATTGGTTTCCTTTGTAATCCCATGTATTTTAGTTTTTTGCATTTAAAAGCATTATTCTGAGAAAGGACTGCCTAAGGAGTCTGCAATACAAAAAAAAGATTAAGAATTTGCTAAGATCTGGTCCAATCACCATATTTTACAGGTGAGGAATACTACTAATTGGTTGCTGAGACACTTAATGACACCCTTTCCAAGTGATCTTACATGTCACCATGGCCTTGATGTGCAGTTTCTTTCAGGCCAAGGTAATGGTGATGGAGTAGGCCACCCTCCGCCAGGCTTTGGTACCATTCCATTCAAGATGCGAGACAACAGAGGCCTAAGAGCCCTGCTCCAGGTAACCACAAAGTCCTAGAAGCGCTGATGAGACTGATACCTGAGGCTCCAGTTCTCATCGGTCAAGTAATTAAGCCTAACAAGACAGCAGAAGCTCCGCTGGGAAATAGCGAGATGCCTCCAGTAATTGGCAAACAGGCACCTGACTCCCCAGAGAATGGGGATTATGTGCTGGCAGCAGGGAAGGAGTTAGGGAAGGGTCAGGAGACTTAGGGAGGCCAGATGGGATAACCTATTTTCATGCATAAATCATGAGCAGCTCCATTTACGGTTGGCTCAGTGTTGATTGAGATACAAAAAGGCTGATCCATGGTTTTGGGAATGTGGGCCAACAGAGCTTCTTTTGTGTTCATGGGAAATGTTGCTGAGTCAAGCCTTGCTTATCCACTTTATACTCTGGTTCAAATAAAACTGACAAGATTTTTGAATCCTATCAGAAAAACTATGACAAATACACATAACGTACAATACGTGCTCCTTTTTACCTATAACCCAGCACTAAACTAGAAGGGCTTTATGACAATTGTCTTTTTGGGTGTGTATACATCCAGACAAAGGGAGATGACAAAGAAATACGTGAGAAGTACTTGGGGAAAATGTCGCACGGACTCCACATGGTGGCATGCCTTTCTATCTAGTCTGTTTCCAGTACATCGAAGTTTCTCAGTTTTTCCTTTTGTGACTTGTGTACTGGTTAAACTAAGCCTCATTACCAAACTGTCAGAAAAAGAAGGGTGATAATTTTTTTTTAAACTCTGACCACTGAATCATGACTGAATCTAAGTATGACAAAAAAAAAGTATTCCAAAACTTTAAACAAATGTTCCTTTGCCCTACTGAAAAAAGTCAGCAGCAGGCCTTCCAGAAGTAAATGTAGCAGAGAACACTAATTAGAGTGATACTTTCCTTTCTGGATGTTGCACACTACACCAGGCCTGCCGAGCACAAGCAGACACATTCTGAGTTAGTGACAGAATGGATTCTGGGGACAGAACATGAGAGACCCGAAGTCCTCAGGAGGCCAAGAAACAAAGGAAGAGTCACGGTCCAGAGTTAGCTCCCTGCCGTACCTATGCTCTACTTAGAAATTGGAGAAAGATCTGTCCTAAAGTAAGGGAAAGAAGAAAAACTCCGAGGATATTTTGACAGTATGTGGCAGCCTGTCATGGTCTCGGACACCAATACAAATGGAAAATGAGGCAAATGGTACAGACAACATCCCTGCTAAAGCCTTTGCTCCTCAGATGCCCCACGAGTCTGGACTGTTATGCCAGGGCTCTTCTTTAAATGGATATGGAAGCGAGCAATATAATCACTACCTAAGGAAAAAAAGGAAAAAAAAATTGACTCTGATTTATTCCTTTCCCTGTGGCATTTCTGAAAAAAAGGAAACAGAGAATAACTAACAGGACTTTCATTCCTCAGGGATAGAGGAGTGAAAGGAAAGAGCTGGACTGAATCTGCTGGTTCCCTTTTTTGGTCCAGAAGCACAGAGAAGAGGTATGGGTTAGAGTCCATCAATTTCCATTTCCTTTTGCTTCTATCCCACAGTCCAGTTACATTCAAAACTAGGTGACAAAAATGTTCTATAGGAACCTAACTCCCTCATGCCATTCATGGTTCCCTAGTATAATACTGAAGAAAAAGAGTGGTATATTTGATCCAGTGCAATTAGGCTTAATCTAAATATCGGAGCTTTGTTTTCTGTTACCCAAAGGAAAATAATGCCTTGTTGTGGTACATGGAGAAATACATTTCCAATACATCAAAGGCTGTGAACAAACTAGTCTCAACAGAAGAACTGCAAATTATTTTTTTAAATGACAAAAGTATTTGCCATTGATCACTTGGAAAGGTTTGGAAACAGGGAAAAAATATGGAATGCTTCACAAAACTGCATCCTATCCTTGTGCAGGGTTCACACGAATCTCTGTATTATTCTCATTTTATCATAAGAGCTGCCGAAGGGAGCACAAGAAGAGGAAACTATTAACAAACATAGGAAAGATTGCTCCAAATCACTAAAAAGAGAAATGTAAATTGAAACCACTCAGGGTTCATCTCACACCCAGAAAATTGGCAAAGATAACAAAGGATGGGAATAATTGATTTTGGAGAGGGGAGGGAGGAAAAGAAGGAGGGAGGGAGAGGGAGAGGGAGAGGGAAAAGGAGAGGGAAAGGGGGAAGTAGAGGGTAAGGGAGAGAGAGAGACTCTGATACTCTGTTGATGGAGCTGTGAATTGACCCAATAATTTAGGAAAACAATTGGAATCATGCTTAAAAAAGTGACTAAAATATCCATGATCTTTGACTCAGAGAATCCACTGCTAAGCACATTCCTCAAGAGTGTCAAAGTCAGAAAGACAAGTCCTCAATAAATACCAAAATATTCATAGCAGCACTTTTTGTCATATCAAAGAATTGAAAACAAAGCAGGGTTTTATCAATTGGGGAATGACTAAAGAAATTGTGGTATATGAAGGTAAGAAAATGTAAGAAAATGAGAATTTGGGTAAACGTGGGAAGACTTAATATGAAGTGATACAGAGCACAATAAAGCAAAACCAGGAAAATAATATACACAATGTAAAGAACAATTAAAAAAACTACACTCCGCAAGTATAATAACCAAGTTTGAACCTGAAGATGAGATGAGAAAATATATCTACCCCTTTCTACTGAGGGGGTAAAATAGGTGTATGATGTTGCATCTTCTGTTTGGGTGATGTCTTGCTTGGTTTGCTGATTAAAAAACAAAATAAAACTCACTGTTACAAGGAAAAGCTCTTTACAGAGGAAGAGTATATATGTAAATGAATGTGATATAAAAACAAAACAACAAAAAAATCCAACAAAATAAGAAATCTACAATCTCAGCTTACTACAATACTAGAACTAAGGGTATAAGGGGAAAAAAGCATGTTCTTTGTAGGCCCCTATAGTCTAGGCTTGTTATGAATTAGATTAAGAACTCAAGAACCCTCTTAATATGATGGCCTTCCCTAGAACATCTCATTCATTAAGCAAGGCTCTATTTATCTCCCAGTTGGACCTTGGTAGTTTTTATTCTAAACCCCTCAGTCCTTTCTAGTTGCTATGCATAGCAATATCAAATTCTTTGACAGAAGGTTTATATTAATCGTGTCTCTTGAATATGTTGCTAAACAGGGTGTTCAAAAATCACTAATGGGGAAAACAATCAGATTTTTAATGCTAATTTTTCCAAACATTAAAAAATCTATATAAACATGCAGTGAAGTCCACACATTAAAAACCAAAGATATTATTCTTTTTTTTAAAATCCAGAGTGGACAAATAGATACTTGTTTACTTACATGAGAGACAAAATATTGTATCTTGTTTGCCAAGAACTAATAGCTGTTCTGAAGGAATATAATCTTCGTCGCCATTTTTTTTAACGTGTTTTTAAAACTTTGGGTTACAAATTGTCTCCCTTCCTCCTTCCCCACCCACCCTCATTGAAAAGGCAAGCATCTCGATATAGGTTATAGATGTGTAGTCATGCAAAACACTTCCATAGTAGTCCTGTTGTGAAAAACTAAGTATATTTCCCTTCATCCTATCCTACCCCCCATTTATTGTATTTTCTCTTTTGACCCTATCCCTCCTCAGAAGTGTTTGCTTTTGATTATCCCCTTCCCCAATCTGCCCTCCCCTCTATATCAACCCCCTGCTCTCTTGTCCCCGTCCCCCTTTATTTTCCTGTAGAGTAAGATAGATTTCCATACCCCATTGTGGATGTTATTCCCTCCTTAAGCCAAATCCGATGAGAATAAGATTCACTCATTCCCTCTAACCTTTTCCCATTTCCCCTCCACTGCAAAAGTCTTTTCTTGTCTGTTTCATGTGAGACTAAATTTTACCTCATTCTACTTCTCCCTTTCTCCTTCTCCCAGTATAATGCTCTCTCACCCCTTAATTTTATTTTCCAGATATTACCCCTTCATCTTCAACTCACCCTGTGCCCTCTATCTAGCTATACAAACCTATAATTTTTTCCCTCCCACTACCCTAATACTGACAAAGGACTCATGAGTTACAAATATCATCTTTCCCTGCAGGAATGTAAACAGTTCAACCTTAATAAGTCTCTTATGATTTCTCTTTCCTGTTTACCTCTTCCCTGTTTCACTTGAGTGTTGTATTTGAAGGTCAAATTTTCTATTCAGCTCTGGTCTGTTCCACAGGAATACTTGAAAGTCCCCTTTTTCATTGAATGACCATTTTTTACCCTGAAGGATTATATTCAGTTTTGCTGGGTAGGTGATTCTAGGTTGTAGTCCTAACTCCTTTGCCCTCCGGAATATCATACTCCATGCCCTCCGGACCCTTAATGTAGAAGCTGCTAAATCTTGTGTTATCCTAATTGTGTTTCCACAATACTTGAATTGTTTCCTTCTGGCTGCTTGCAATATCTTCTCCTTGACCTGGGAATTCTGGAATTTGGCTGCAACATTCCTAGGAGTTTTCCTTTGGGGATCTCTTTCAGGAGGAGATCAGTGGATTCTTTCAATTGCTATTTTGCCCTCTGGTTCTAAAACATCAGGGCAGTTTTCCTTGATCATTTCTTGAAAGATGATGTCTAGGCTCTTTTTTTGATCATGGCTTTCAGATAGTCCAATAATTTTTAAGTTCTCTCTCCTGGATCTATTTTCCAGGTCAATTGTTTTTCCAATGAGATATTTCACATTCTCTTCTATTTTTTCATTCCTTTTGATTAGTGTTACAGTGCCTTGATTTCTCAAATTGTCACTAGCTTCCAATTTCTCCATTCTAATTTTTAAGGAAGTATTTTCTTCAGTAAGCTTTTGGACTTCCTTTTCCATTTGGACAATTTTGCTTTTCAGGGCATTCTTCTCCTCATTGGCTTTTTCGACCTCTTTTGCCATTTGGGTTAGGCTGTTTTTTAAGGTGTTATTTTCTTCAATATTTTTTTGGGTCTCCTTTAGCATCCCTCTCAGTTTTTCCTCTACTTCTCTTACTTGCTTCTCAAAATCCTTTTTGAGCTCTTCCATGGCCTGGGACCAATTCATATTTTTCTTGGAGGCTTTGGATGTAGGAGCTTTGGCTTTGTTGTCTTCTTCTGGTTGTATGTTTTGATCTTCTTTGTCATCAAAGTAAGATAACATAGTCTGACTCTTTTTGTGCTGCTTGCTCACGATCTTGGCCAATTACTTGAGTTATAAACTCTTTGTTAAGATAGGAGTCTGTTTCCAGTGTGAAGAATGTGCTGTCCCAAGCTTCAGGGGTTTTGTGCAGCTATTTTCAGAGATACTTCTAGGGACCTGTAAATTTTCAGTTCTTCCAAGGTGCTATGATCAAGGGCGAGGTGTTTACTCCTTTCCTGAGTAAACTGGTGCTCTGGTCTATGAACACTCTTTTCTGTCTTGGAACTGTGAGGGGGGTTTCCTCTCCACAGCCACTACAAGTTCCACCATTCCAGCGCTCCTCCTCCTCCTCCTCCTCGCCCCAGGGCCACCACCCAGAACTGTGACCCAGATCCAAGCATGGGCAAAGCAAGAGAATCCTGCACCAGCAAAGAGATCCCTGCAATCCCCTTCTGATCAGCCACTCGACTCCCCCTCAGTCTGTGGGCCAGAAGCTCAGGAGGCAGCCTCCACCCTCGGGCCACGCTTGGGGAACGGGGCTGGAGCCCCACTGTCCTTCTCTCTCAGCACCCCAGAAACAGACTTTTCCCATTGACCTTCTAAGTTGTCTTTGGCGTTCATGTCTTGAGAAGTCTGGAAACCACCACAGCTGCCTGTAATTCAGTCCTCTGAGGCCTGCTCCAGAGTTGCTGCAGCCTGCGCGCCCACGCCGAACTGCGCTCCTCTCCCCGCCCGGCGCGATATCCCTTTCTGATCAACCATCTAGGCTGTCTTTGGCTGGAAATTTGTTTCACTCTGTCTTTTTGTTGGTTCTGCTGCTTTAGAATTTGTTTAGAGTCATTTTTTATAGGTATTTGGAGGGGTTTGGGGGAGAGCTCAAGCAGGTCACTGCTTTCACTCCGCCATGTTGGCTCTGCCCCCAAAGACATTCTGGAATATGAATAACTTTTAACTTATATAATACTTCATATAAGTATATATATATATATATATATGTGTGTGTGTGTGTGTGTGTGTGTGTGTACACATATATATGTATACATACACACAAACATATATAGTTATTGTTGTTGTTGTTTGTCCTTCATTTTGTAAGAGGACCACTGAGGTTATGGGTGAATTGTGGGTGAACTGGATTGAAGCGAGGCAGAGTTGCACAAAATCATCAGCCTTACCCTCTTTTCCAGAAATTAAAGTCCAGTGGCAGGACAAAAGTCAGAACGACTGGTGATGGCCCTGGGGATGCAGTGGATGGCCTTGGTGTCTTTGATGTCCAACCAAGCTCTAAGACTGGTCTACAGTGTTTGCTTCAGGCATTGGAACAAATTGTTCTCATCCACCTATTCAATGAGAATTCTTCACATGTTTGGGGTAGACATCTGCCAGACTCGCCATTGAGTCTGAGGCCTGTTCCGTTACCCTCAACCTGGTATATTCCATTTGCGTGGATGGTTTACTGTGGCCTTTGTGCATGCTACAGCTTTTTGGAGCCACAGGTGAGAGCTGAGTGCCAGGTGGATGCCAAAGGTGGATAAGGAGCCCTGAAAAGCGATTGGCAGCCCTCACACCAGAGGTGCTAGTCCTCCTGGAACACTCTATACACCACATAGATAGATAGATAGATAGATAGATAGATAGATAGATAGATAGATAGATAGATAGATAGATAGA